GGCTAGCCAATGTGAATTAAAAAAATATCAACACTTTTAGACAAAAATTATTGCTACATAAACAAAATAACTATTCACTAATATGATATTGAAAAAATCATTGAGGATCATTGACCGTTTACTAATAAATATAAACTTTAAAAACAATCGACGATCACGAATTTAAAGGTTAATGACCTCATACAGTCACTGTTCCAATCGACAAAATATGACAGAGACATAATTAAAATAAAATAGAAGATACATTTTCTAATAAAATATCCGGCACATTTATATATCGTAGGTACTTCCGAGTGAATTATATAACGCTGTACAAAACAACTTTCCATCAATGTTATCTTGTCGATACTTCGAATTAATACCTACTTTCATTTTCGTTTAATCGTGTAGGGTGTATAGTATGTTAACCTAGTTTTTATATCTTAACTTGGTTATTCGGTTAGTATATTATGTCATTGTCGATAACCATATTGTTTATCAATATTATTGATAAAAACACATACAGACGTATTGATAACCTTCTTTTTGAAGTTGGCTAAAAATATTCTATTTCTTTTTCACATTGATATAGATCGATGGTTCAACGATCTTAAAGCCTTTTTAATCTTTAGCGTTGTAACCTAACCTAAAATGTATTATTAACAAAGAACTGTATAAATAATATCTTATTTTTCTTGTTATTAACGATGGCGCTATTCAGAGGCCTAGACAACGTATTCTTGCGCGTAAGTTGACGTAAGTTAAGTTTAGTATGAATAGGTTTTTTTTACGAATTTAAATAATAATTTCCAAATTCTGATTAATTAACTGAAGAAGCATAGTATATGGAGATCTAGGAGCTTCTTCCGTATTCCACAAAATTAATGGTTGTCAAAGATTTTATTTATTACTTCGTTAATTTAAATATGCATATCAAGGAACAAAGATATAGCTTTACATAACAGAGTATTAATTTATGTATTTATAAATAAATTATATAATTACATTAAGAAGCAATTTAACAAATTAAGAAGATACATAAATTAGACATATAATTAATTAATTCGCTAATCGTGTTTTTTTGTGAACTATTACCATATTTTTATTTCCTTACACTGAATATTATGATATGTGTATTAAAGTATGAATAAAGTATTTTCTTAATCACATCTCACTAATATTATAAATGTGAATATTTAGATGGATGGATGGATGTTTCAAGGTATCTCCACAACGACTACATGAATATCAATAAATTTTGGCACACATACACTGTAAAAACACATATGCTATTTTTTTTTAATTTCGCGCACACGGCATCGCGCACAACAGCCAGTTTTTAATTTAAAAAAAAAACAGTCTAAGATTATTCTGCTCATATATTACAAAAAACATCGTATTCTTTCTAACAATGTACGTAGTACGTTCATACATACATGTAGATAAAATTAGACATAAACAAGTAAATCCGTGTTAAAAATAGCATACGGGGGAGGCAATAACAAATCACCTATGACAAGACGTTTCAAAATACAGCTTCGCTAATTCCGGTATACGACCACTCGCACTTTTTACAAAGGTTATTTTTAAATGTAGACATTGCTGTTAAATATTAGTATGCTGAGTCAACGGTCTACTCCGCGTGTAGATATAGAAATGTGACGAGACCCCGCATTCTTACTGATTCGCAGAATTATATTATTCCTTGACTAATGTATTTATTACAGGCGACTGTTAATAGTACACATTCAAGAATTTAAAAAAAAAATCAAATATCAATTTCAAAGTATATCAAATCGAGTCTGACACTAAATAATCTTACTAATATTATGAGAAAGTTTGGATGGATGCAGAACATAGTCTGGAAGAACACTTAAGGTACTTATTAAGTTTTTTTTAATCGGACAGAATCGCGGGCGCCAGCTAGTAATCAATACATCAATCTTATCGATACGACTATTTCATCGGTTACTTAAAATGACACTATTCTAATTTTAAAGTTATAGACAAAATAAGAATTTAGTTTGAGTCAATAATTAAAGAAAAATATTTTTAAATTTACAAATATGTCAGCCAGTGTTCCATTTAACTCGATTCAATAAAATAAAAAATCGATTATAAGATTAACAATGATGAGGAAAATCGATTCGAAACAAAACACGGTACATCCTTTAAGTCCGCTTTTGCCAAACAATGAAGCCCAGCAACTGAGTAAGCTGATACCTATCCGGCTTAGTACGCCTGTTGTATTACTGGACTTGTTTACTCCAATATCGCACACAAATACACCGAACGGATAATCTTGATACTTCGCAAATAGTAAATTGGATTAAAAGGGATTCCTTTTGCAAAATTTATATAGTAAATACATATAAGACTATATCTAATTATCAAAAGTATGAGGAAAAAGCAGACTATTTTGAAAGATCGATTTCCCAATTATAAATAACTGGTTATGTAATAAATTCCCACACTTGAATTCGCCAATTCAAACGGGAAAAGAGAAGTGAAATAATTGAAGCTATATTGATTGAGAACGTAACGCGACGTCATGAACGCAAAATGGGGCCTACCCATTTTATTATTTGAGTAAATATTTATTTCATATAATTTAACCTCGTGGATTGACGTTATAGAAATTTGATAATTATGTTAAGTATTTTTTAAATTAAAATTATTCATCTTTGTACCTACGAGGAGCACACAAAAAAAACGGTTTACGAAAACAGTTGCCAACAAAATGCAGAACAGACGAACTAATATAAACAGAAGTGATTTGTAGAGTTTACCTGAGCAGATGTTGGAGCAGACTGCATGATTTGCGCACCTTTGCATATTGCTTTTGTATGCATATCCGTTAGTAGGGATATATTGTTTACGATTCAATGAGAAATAATAATAAAAATAAATAGTATACAAGTAAATGTAAGATATCAGGTATTCGCAAAATACTTTTTAAGCTATTCATTTCATACTCTTGTAATATTGTTTCGTGTATAAATTATAAAAACTTTTTAAATGTTAGGAAAAGTATAGAGAAATACCAATCAACATAAAAATGGTGGTCAGATATTAGTTAAACTTCAGTATTATTCATATATTCAGTATTATTGAAACTTCAATAAACTTCTAAAATTAATTTCTTCATAATAATAAATCATGTAATACGGTACAAAAGTAAATAAAAACTACAACTGTAAATAGAAAAAGAATTTGCTGATGAGCGCAGGTAATAAAGGAATACTCCGCGATTTATTGCGCAGTTGCGCATCGGAATGCATTCGTCAAACAAAAACATCGGCGTCAAAACAATCAGAGACATCTATCTTATTGATATTAGCTGCACAGCCCGACAGCCTATTGACACAGTGGCATTTATCTGACATCTGAGAGTGATAAGAAACATTACCCGCAAGCGTATAACAAAGAGAATTTCTCTCGGACAGGTGCGGGAAGTGCATTTCTAAATCCCGGCACAACCTGATTACCATATCCCGCAATACAACGTTCATCGCTTCGAGCGATAGCTGATAACTAAAGCGATTCAGTCCATCCCAGTTTAACTGACGTACGATAAATTGTACACCGTTGTGTATTCATAATAAAATCAAACGTAGCCTAGTTTGCATGTAATAAGCTATGAACATGAATATCATTTTCCTTAACTGGACAAAATTGACGTGACAATCCGGTATTTTTTGGAAAATTTTAACACAACGTCCGCGCTGAATTAAAAATAAACTTAATAAGTAGCCTATGTGTTCTTCCATACTGTGTTCTACATCTATGTCAAATTTCAACGATATCCCTTCAGCCGTTCCGGAAATACCAAACATCCTTCCATCCATCCATCTAAACATTCGCATTTATAATATTAGTAAGATAAATACTAAGTAACGATCTTCAACCGACACGTCACAGAATTTTAAAGCTTAATCTCAACTATCAAAGCCTTTTAATCCTTATTTTATAGTTTTGAAACAGCCACTTGAATTAACGTACTATTTATTTATTTGTCCTTGAGTTGCACTCTCTGTTAGTCAAATTTCAATGAAATTTGATATACATAAAAGCCTTCATTGCGAAGGAACATTCGATACTTTTAACGAAATCGTTCAAGTAGAACGTATAAAAATTGCAAAATCTTTTTAATTAACACGTTTTAATCTCTGTAGAAATTACTATCTGTCTAATTCCCAACTTAGTCTAGATATTATATCAATACCATAACATCTAGATCTTAAATCCAATTCTTAGATATTACGTTATCTATCGTCTCTTATCATCTGAGTGCAAATTCGATATAAATACTCGTAAAACTTAAGCACCTCTTAAAGTCGTCAAAACATCACTCCATAGCGGAATGTTTGAAATGTCCTTCTATATATTAACCTTTAATAATTCAACGATGCAATTAAAATTTGAAGAATAAGATCGTAATTATGCCATAGTTGAGGAAGTGATGATCGCGAAGACTTCGCATAAATTAGGAATATTCTAGTATTGATGAAATTCCAAACAGACGTAAGATGAAACCTCTTATATTATAGAGCTTAAATTATTAACGTAATGTTATAAGTACTTTCCATTTAATCTTATCAATTTAATCTATAACGATACTTAATAAAAAAACTTAAAATATAAACATTTTAAGTTGACGTAACAAAAATTTCTAAATGATAAAAAAAGATAAAACAACATAACAAAAATCATAGTAAAGTAAAACGAACAAAGGGTTAATACGAAGGGTCTAATTAAATTAACTATCCAAATCCCCAATAATTACACGGTCATTAAATTATTATTGGGGTTAGGGACTGAAATAAATCAAAGAACTTTTTTGTGGACCCATTAAAGATAATTTGATTTCGGCATCCTCAGATCAGGATATCTATAGTAGGATATATGTAGTAGACAGTAAAATGAATGCATTAATTTGATATGACTTTAGTATAACTATAACGGTTTTACATTGGTTTTAAATTGAATTCATAAAGTGCATATTGACAATTTAAACTTACCCGATTTACCGGACCGGGCGCTCCCGAGCACTACAACTCTTATTCGATTAACCGTCATCTTCATAACTCCTAAATTGCACTGTAAACACTTATTATAATTTACAATAGATCTTCTAAATATTACCCTGTAGTTATTGTAAAAACAATTATTTGTAAATCAAAAATGTTGGCGCCAAAATTAGACGTTGCAAGATGGAGGAGACGCGCGTCCAACGCACGTGCTAGCGAGCGACTACAGTGTCAAAGTAAATTGGCGCAAGCCACTCAGCTCGCCTAATGGAGTGAGAACTATTTGAATTTCGATGCCATCTAGATTTTTATTGAAAGGTTATGCATGAACCGTGTGAAATGCAATGTCGGAGTCATGTTACTGAACCGAGTTTTTTTAACCAGTGCCAAACTTGAGAAAAAGTAATTACACTCGCCCAAAGATAAGAAAGAGAGTTGATTGACGACTTTCCTGTTGATTTGCTGCTTCGTGAAATTTAACAAAATTTATACGTGATCATGTGAACTGGTGAATCTATAAGTTCATTTCAAACCTGACAAATATCTGATAAGCAAACAGCAAGCTATTAAAATTTGAATAGTTTATGCGCAGATCAAAATGCGTTGAAGAAAATATTTGCAGATAAACTTAGCATTCCTTTAATAATAACCAAAAGTCTGATTAAGCTTGAGGCTGCTAAACTTTTATTAGACGTTAACTATATTGCGGTGAATAAGATGATGACAATAATAAATTAACTTTTTTTCTTATTTTATTCTTACTTTGACGAAACTGTTATTGTAACAATCACTCTAGAAAATAATATTATTATTTTAGAAATAAACAAAATTCGGGATGATACAATGGTCAATAATAATGATAACGATTATGAATCGAATAAGTATATTAGAAGAATTACAAGAAGTTTCATCGATAATTTTGTCATCGAAAATGACGATATGAAACATCCTAAAATTAATATTAAAGATTTACAAAAGTTTACATATCACATTTAGATAAAAATATAAGATATTTCCACGGAAATGGTTAACATTCAAACTACGAAGTGATATCTACAGCGTGTTTTAATTAGCCCATTAATTAGTTTGAAATAGAAAGTGGTTTGAATGATGAATAACCAATAACTTGAATTCATTATTGCTTCGAGAAACAACAATGGAAATCTACTGTCGAATATATAAAATTAATAAAAACCTAACTTGTTCGGACAGGTCTCTTATTAACAACATGCTAGAAATAGATCCTTAATTGTTTGTTTAAAAATAAACAATAAAACGGTTCTAGTTATTTTAAAACCTGATGTGGTTATTTAAAGAATAATTGACAAGTTCTATATTTGAGTACTGCAATCGATTGCTGGTATTCTGACTAACTTCAGTTGACTGTTGGCAGTAAAATACTTTTTTATCTGTAGATATTATCAATCACTAACTTACATGCATGAATATTCTTCAAGTATTGCCAAAAATTATAGTCCTTATTTTACTCTATGTACTGTTAGAAAGAAAATCGGACACTGTGCCGGTGTACTGGCGCAACACTAGCCTTACTAAAATCACTAATCATTCTGCCACTTGACTTTCCAAAGACAGTGCGCCATTCGGGCGAAAGGATTCTACCTAATCATATATATAAAATTCTCATGTCACAATTTTCGTTCCCATACTCCTCCGAAACGGCTTGACCGATTATCATGAAATTTTGTGAGCATATTGAGTAGGTCTGAGAATCGGCCAATTTTTAATCCCGCGCAGACGGAGTCGCGGGCGACAGCTAGTAATGTCTAAAAGCGCTAATACAACGTAGCTATTTTTGCAACCTTGACCATGCCATCAGTCCATATTATTTGTATTCTTAATATGTATTATAATATTTATTAAATCGATTAAAAATAGAAGTGTTCGGTAAACATAAAAAGTATTCGAATATTTTAAACCAATCGATGTGTTATCGATTAATTAACCCGACTTTATAAGATCGTTTTTTAATCACTTTTTTATAAACACTTGAGTAATTTATATCAGCTGCGTCATCTTGTGATATAAAACAAAAATTGTAATAGAAAGATACCCTTTCTAATGTAAACTTCCCAGACGAATAAAAAGAAGACTAACTTTTGTTTGTTTTTAATGAGGTGACTATGCTAACGGTCCGGCTATAATATCCCATGCAGGAATTTTAACAAGCTCTTTGTTAACATTTTCTAATCGTATGCCTCTGATATACCGAAGCAGGCAGTAAAAACTATACATCGTGTACAAAAAAAACTATAATAAGAATTGAGAACATAAGAAATTAAACGTAGTAAAAGTTTGTTGTAAATAAAAGTATATAAAAATAGATTCAGTAAAAGAATAAACAGACCTTATTAACTCACTAGCTGTTGCCCGCGACTTCATCAACGTAATTAAAATAAGGTACAGAAAAAAGCAGCCTAAATCACTCCCGCACACATAAGCAATGCAATTTAAACTATACAGTAATAAGAGTGTCTGTATGATATAAAAAAAATGTCTTACACATGGTGTATTTTATTTACCTTAGATATAAAAAAATTAAAGCTTACGTCTGTCTGTCCGTCCGCAAATCTGCTTTTGTTCTATATATTCTATTTTTAAAATATGTTTCTATCAGGGTGCTCTAACCGCGAAGCTACTCTAAAAATATTAACAAACAAACTAACATGCACAATCTCGAGTATACGAGTTTATTAACTGCAACCGAGATGCTCGCCGGTACCACACGACGGATGTAGAAAAAAAAGGTTTAAAAATACATCGAAATAAAAATGAAAGTACGCATACTGCGCGGACGACACCTGTGGAGATTGTAGGTCTTCTTTGCGGTCGCCCCCCTCCCTCTCCAGCACTCCCTTCCATCCTTTATACTATGTTTCATAAGAATGGGTAATAAAGTATTTGTCATACTTTATTTTTACACTTGTTCATTTCGTTTAATATATAATTTTGAAACACGAAACCTATCTACGTGGAAAAGAACATGCATAACTATAAAACTAAATGAGACCTACCGAGACGTCATACTATTCCACTACGATAATTTTAAGAACCGATGGATAAGTTTTAAAATTAGTAGAAATACCGCATTTTATTTTTTGTGACTGAAATGCCACTGTTTGCCTTGAAGAGACATTTACAGTTTCACAGGACTTGAGGTGGCTGAGCGTAGATGGCACTAACCCTAAATCTCGTTTAAGAGCAAATTCCTTAATTATGTCTCGTACTATATAAATATAAAAATACTACAAGCTAGTCGTGTATTGTGGAGAAGTGGTCTTAATTATACTAGGCTTGACGTGCCTTACTTCTTCTTATTCGAACACCGACAAGGCATCTGTCAATCAAAGATATGGAGCTCATTTTGCAATTCCTATGGACTTGCGAATGTTAATAGGCCGCGTACTGAGTAGTTCTCTTATTTGCTCTATTATGTAAAACATGAAGTAAATTAAATCATTTTATTAAATGTCAATGACCTTGACTTAATCTTGAGATACAAAAAGTTCGGAATTAATTTTTAGTTGACACAAGATTTAAAAATCGATTGATTGTCACAAGCCGTTATTCCGATTAAGGTATTTTTTGTTTCATTAAACATTAAAAGAATTAAATGGGATTATTTTTTCGTATATTGTTGCTATTAGAGTAGTCAAAGAAATTTTAAATAACTGGTTACTACAACTTAATAGTGACCATCATTTGAGAAGAACCAAGACATACTCATTATAATTCTCGTAGAACGAGAATTGTTAACGTTCTAACTAAATAAAAAGAAAAAGGATGCATTTAAAAATACGACAATTGTTCAAAACATTTCAAAAATATAATACGATAAATTCCCACGTCCCAATTAATGATGGTAGCACTGTACTTGACGGATGGACCCAATCAAACCGTAGCGAACGGCGTGACCAAGGGATCTCGCGGCTCCTGTTACAACACCTACAGCAACATTATTCGGTAGCCAAGCGATCCCGACAAAAAAACAAAATAAACCGCAAACTCCATCGAGGTAAATTCTGACTGACAAGTAATTTGAAGACGGGATCCTGTTTAAAAAAATATGTTAAGACCATACGTAATTGTATCAAACGTGCAATTTATGTTTTGCATTCCCTTCGTGATAATTTTGAGCTCAACTAATTTGTTTTCTTTTCATCCAAATGATATGGTCCGTAATAACAGGCTGGTCGACATGCGACAGATATATTTCTATGTAGATGGTTAAATAAGGAATTCCAGATTAAGATTTTCGTTCGAAATGAAACAAAATATTGGTTCGATTCCTTCGTTAACTTTATTGAACGAATCTATATTAATCACATTATTAAATATAACAGATCGAAGTAATAAAAAACAATGTAAAGTAATAGATTTTTTGGTTCTTAATGGCGATAGTATCTTTGTCGTGTCCAGAAAGCCGTTAAAATTTCGTGAATATGAATGGACGTTAATGTACATATTCGCTTTCAATTTAAAATCTTTTAAAATGTAATTAAAATCAAAAGTTATAAAGATACGCTGTACGAACTTTACACGTTTTTACACTCCACGTGGACAATCATATGTTCAATGGCTTAACTTTCACACGATTCTTTCCTTAATTACTTTCCGTCTGCGAATTAAGGTCTACTACCAAAAGTGTATTAAAAACGAAGTTATTTTTTTTAAGTAGTCCTTTGTGACCGACTTGCCCCAATTTTACTGTCGACTTTTTTTGCGGTGTGGTCATCGCAGACGCATTTATCTCCATCAGTCCATCGTGAACTAAATTATACATAAAAAGTACGTGCCAGTGCTTCGTCCACACGAATGTAGCATAAAAAATTCAAGACCCGTATACAATAGTGTTCCTTATTCTCTACAACATAACGAACATTTATTTCTGCATTCGTATTCAAATCTGCTCCAGCTACCGCATCCTTATGATTTACTATCTCCACAGTTTACAATATCTTAAACAATTAAACATAACTTCCGTAGACTTATGTTCTTCCTTAAATCTGTTTGACACTTTTTAAAGAGATTTCGCGGTCATATAGAAACCCAAAATAACTTTTCCTTAATATGTAATTAATATTGATGTGTTTTCGAGGCTTTCAATTCATTTTAAAGTTTTCATTTTCAATGTTTAATTAATATGAACTGGGTAAACACTCAATTGTTTCTTTATTTTTTAAATTTAAATAACCACAATGATATTTAGCTTATATCTGACATCATTCTATTCCATTTTTATTTCTATTGCCATTTGTAACTTGA